GCCAGGACGAGGTTGGACGACGGACAATTTGTAGTTAAAAGGTGACTGGTGAGAAGGCGCCATATAAGAATTTTTAGTTTAACTTTCCCTTCAATTTTTAGATTTTAATTGTAAGATATAGCTTTTACATTGTAGTTATAATGGGATTAGGTAATTTAATTGTGCTGTAAATTATTTAGGTATTGTTAATATTATTCAAGTACATTAGTATTTGCTTGTTTCTGTTTTTGTTGGGGATGTTAGTTAGGTAAGATTCCCGGTTGTTATTCTCTAGTCTAATGAGCGTTCACAATTGAGAGTTCGGTAGTCAAAAAGGCAAGAGTAGGAGTTCCCTGTTGATATTCTAATCTGGCATCGTGGTGGTTTTAGGACCAAGCTTGCACCCACAAAACAGGGTTTAGCGAAGGGGGTGGGGGGGGGGGCGAGGTGGCAGGGGAAGGAGTAGAGGGGTTTCCTGATACGCCTCAGCTTTCTGTAGTAGTAGGTTTGGCGTACGAAACGAGAGGGGCTGGTGAGGGGGAGCGGAATGGGACCAGGGAAAGGGAAATCCCGATAAAGCAGGTTTTTCAATTTTATTTACTGCTTTGTGGCTTCCTAAGTGCGAAGTAAATGAGCCGGCCATCTTAGTTAGACCACTCCGGCTCGTCGGTATACACTGAGTTAACCCTCCTTTCCTTAACACCATTTAGGCGACGTAAAAGGGGTTGGTTTTGAAAGTAGTCTGGGGATCAATAGTATCATGCTATTAAATTTCAGACTAGAGAATAACAATCCAGGAATGTCAGTAGATTGAGGGGGAGGGTAAGTCCTATGTCGCATGTAATTTGTTTACGTATTAGTTAGTGGCACCTTGACTCACCAGTCACCTTGCCCACCCTAAGTTTTCCGTGGGTTTCAGAAGGCCGTGTCCCTTCTGCAGAAGTTCGCCCTTCCGCAATGAATCCCCGCGCAGTTTCCTTCCGATGGAGTCGACTCTCGAGGTCCCTGGATTGAGTGTGCCCCGGATTACTGGAGATTCTTTTCTGGATCACGCACTCGTCCTTCACAAGTGGACGGCTTGTTAGCGACCGATGCTTGCTACAGTTGAATTCGTGGAGACACTCGCTTCGGGAAGCCGCATTTTGCGTTGCTCGGCTGTGCAGACTACTTTTGCCGACGACATCGAGCACGATTTTTCATGCTCGCTAGACCATGTAGCCATTTTTCGTCGGATTTTCACGGCATCGGCAGACTTCAAGGACACGATATGGCTGTTCCCAGTCGCAAAACGGTATGACGGATACGATCGTTCACACTACAACTTCTGCACAGCAATCGTACAACACACAGCGAGGTGTCTGTGAGCATGCTTCAGCTTGAGCAAAAGTGAATGGTGAAATATCAGAGGAGGTAGTCTTTTTTGTGCTTATAGTGTTAGCAACAAGGTTGACCGGGTAAAAATGCGTCCTGAGTAGAGGGGGAACGGGAGAGCATCCACTGTTATGCCCTTGTTTCGCATCTCTCATTGTGTGAAGGTCCTACCGGCCAATTACTTTTCCATTCCATTTTTTTGCATGGAGGACAAAATTTCAGTCGCAATAGCGCTCTTTTTCTCATCAAGGTTAGGCCAAAAATTTGACCTCCCTGGCAGGAAATTTATTCCCAATATCATTACTAGCCCCTCAAGCTTTTTTTCTGATCTCATCTTGTGCCTTTTCAAAACAGTGGTCCATGGGATACTCTGGAGATTGATATCTGCTCATGTGGGTGTGGGAGCAACTCGTTACCTTTGTTCAGTGAGTGGCTGTGACGGTTCGAGGGGTCCGATGTCCAGACCAGGTCGATTGCTTGAAGAACTTTTTGCCACTTTTGGGGCCGTTTCTTTATCTCAATAACAGTCTTTTTCTTGGGAATGTTGCTTGAAAACTTCCAACACCTTTGTAGGAATTGGGAACTTCGCTGGCTTCTGTGCCCTTATGGGATGTTATGCTCTTATTCATTGTTTGGAGACCCATTTCTATATTACTCTACTAGAGAATCGTAGTAGCTTTACTGTTTGATAGGCTTTAGAAAGCGTTTATTAATCGTGCACGACCTCTCATGCCGTTTCTTTGGTGTCGTTCCTGGAGTTTATGCTTGCCTGCCGACTTCAGACAGGACTTCCAGTACTTCGTTTTGGATTCTTCGCCATAGGCAGCGTGAGCTCGCTATGGATCGGCCACTCATCTATTAACAGTCGTTTTCAGAGCAGTGAGTTCTTTTCAAGGATTCAGAAAGGCTAACGGTAATTTGCAGTGTGCTTGAGTTGCTTCAGAATCATAGCTCATTTTTTCAAAGGAATCATTACTGTTGGTTTAGTTTTCAGCTTGAGCATAACCCTACTCAAAATGCTTTTGTTTGAGTTTTTTGATAATTATTAACGTTTGGCTAACTGACAAAAGATGGCTCAAAATAAGCTGGAGTATTCCCGAAATCAAGGTTATAAGGCTTTAGGCCAATTAAAGTTTTAGTAGAAGTACCTGGTAGGATTTAGCCCGTGTGTTCATTGAGTGGGAAATGTTATTGATTCAACGACGCATTCCTTGCTGCGCTCTCCTGTTGCTTGTCGTCTGCAAAAGTTGGACTTCGTCCGCAACAATGTAAAAAAGGACAGGGCCTGAGCAACTAAACAATTAGAGCAAAAGGAACGGTGGCTGAGGGGATGGCGAGGAATGGGGAAATAAGTAGATTGATTACAGGTAAGCTGAGATGAGTATGAATCACTGAATGGGGTGCACAAATGGCAGGGTACCGGGCATTCGCTCAAAATTCGGAAAAAGCTGTTACTGTAGGCAATAACTCACTTTTTTAACAGTTTTTTTTTTTCGCAAAGCAGCAGACCGATTGGGATAAGGACAGAATAGAGTAAATCAAAAGGGTTGAATCAAAGTTGCTGAGAAAGTGTTGTTATTATATTCTAACGTGAGAGTGACGGGACGCTCGTCTTTCGTTATGCGCAATGTGATTGCCCACCTTCTGCTTTTCTGTCAACTAGGAAAACATTAGATACCATGGATTATTTTGAGTAGAACCACAAGGTCGCAATTGTTTCTGGGAAGGTGAGGGTTTGAAACAAAACGGTGTTATGCGTACATCCCAACCGATTTAGTTATTGTCAGATTTTTTATGGGCTTCAGGCATTACTGCGGTTTTTTACGGTGGATTTGTGCGTACTGTTTGGGAATGAGCAACAGGAAGAGCAAAGCCAATACCCTTCTTATGACTTCCGCTCATCTATTCATGTTACAAGAGATGTCTTATGGAAACCAAAAGTTACTTTTCCTCTCGCCATGCTCCACACTATGATGCAACGGTAGAAATTCGAGGTATCACCCCGTTGCTCACATTGTTTCCAAGGTAGGGAAGTAGCCTTGACAATTTTGAAAACTGCTTTCCCGGCTTTGCTATTCCCATTTCTGCTAGAATTGTCATCGCAGAGAATCACCTCTGGCCTTGTCGTGACCAAATTTCTCGAGCTTTTTTAGTCGTCACAGCATCCTTTCGATGTATTCAACGGAAAGAGTTTGACAGTGCCCTCGTCTTTTTGAATTCCGGATCATAGGGCCGTTGGTGGTCTTAGCCTTTTCTCGACCTTTCATGGAAATCAATCGATGATTGTTGCTGCTGGTGTGACAATATCGACTAATGTGGCCGCATCAGCTGATCTTCGACATCTCGGCAATCGTATTCAGAAATGGGACAGAACTCCTGAATTCCTTTTCTGATGTCTACTCGATAGCGCCCTCTACAGTTTTCTTGCTCGTGCTTCACG